CATATTCTGGCCTTAGCACTGGCACTGTTCTGCTTCCCAACAGTTCATCATAAAGAACACCTAAACACATTCATTAAGGAAATTATAATATCGCTGTCCTTAAACTAAAAGAAGATTTCTTATCTTGCTAGACACACTTCATTGGACCAATTAAAATCATCTTTTTCCTCTACATGCTCATCCTCGCTGTGTTTCTCCACACATATCCTGCCTGTCTCCTTTTCCTTTCACACCCTTTCACTCCTGTTTCCTGAAACCTGCAGCTGTACCTGGTTCTGGAGACACAAAAGAGGCAACAAAAAAAATACTTGGGGGGGAAAAAAAAAATGGCTGAATTCTCCCCATTTCCTTTGTGTTACAAAATACTTGCAATTCGGAAATAATCAGGCTTCCCTTTCTTTCTCTCAGCTGCCGGCAGCTGTTGTGTATCTTCTGTATCACTTCCCAAAGTACTTCAAATCCTACCAGGCCCAGGAGAAAGCAAGCACTTGTTTAAAACCAATAATGCATCAATATGTGCTTGGCTGTTGCAATCCTTATACCGGCACTGCTGGAGATGATTACCTAGCTTTTATAGCTGCAGATTCAGACTTGTGGAATAAAATCAGGCCCAATAAAATAAGGAAACAAAGAAAGCGTAAGTGGAATGGAAAAAAAGAAAAAAAAATGAACATGCAGAACATGCTGTAAATTCAGGATCAGGTAAAAGCTAATTATGGTCATGCTCACTAAAAAGAAGAGGACGCAGCAAGGAAGATAGACTTATTAATTATTTGTATTATGGTAGCACTTAGAAGCCCCAATCCTTTAACTGGCACTAGCTGTGCTATACATGGCAAACACTCAAATATATCTTTGGGTAATTGCACACATTTTTAAGGAAAATGTGCAAGTGCTCTGTTCTTTCACCTTCAGCTGTTTCTGGTTTGTCGATGCTGCTAAAGGAGACCGACTTAACCATCAATCTCATTTTGAGCAGCTCCCTCGATGCTCATGGGTCAAAGAACAAATAATTCAGTATTAAGGCATCTCCACTCATGGCTGGCGAGGGCAAACAACAGCAGAGCACGTGTAACAACAGGGCATTAACGTATATGTCGACATCCCCATCCTGTCTTGGTGCGGGAAACTCTCCCTGTTGCTCATAGGGACATTGCATTCTCACCGACTCCATGCAAATTTGATTGCTTTTCTAATTAAGATATATTTTATGGTAATCTACCAAGCCCCTCAGACTAAATCACTCAGTTAATCTGTTGTTAGTGCCCATATGTTTACAGCTTCTGAGCCGGATGCAGCAGATTTGCTTCGCTGGGGCCGTGCGCTGATGGATGAGCCACTGCACAGTGATGCAGTGGTGCACAGTGATGCAGCGGTGCACAGTGATGCAGTGGTGCACAGTGATGTGCAGTGGTGCACAGTGGTGTGTGGTGGTGCACACTGGCGTGAGGTGGTGCACAGTGGTGTGAGGTGGTGCACAGTGATGCAGTGGTGCACAGTGATGTGCAGTGGTGCACACTGGTGTGCGGTGGTGCACACTGGTCTGCGGTGGTGCACAGCAAGGCACACCTTATCACCCCAAACTGACACTAAGCCAGACAGGCGTCTTGGGCACTCAGTGCGTTGGGAAGAAAATAAAGGGCCCTGCTCTGCAGATAAAGCACCCTGTACTGATCACCTGTCTCTCGCCTTGTTGCTACAGTAGGGCTCAGCACATATTTTTTCATTTTCCTTTTTTTTTTTTTTTCCTTTCCTTTTTCCCTTCCAAAATAATACGTTGTATGTGACAGGAGAGGAAGGCTGGAGAGTTTCATAGTATCCTTAGGTCTTTGGCCCAATACTTGCCTACCAAAGCAAAGAGAAGCTCTGTTACAGATTCAAGGGTGCTGAACACCCTCCCTGGGCAAAGAGCAGTGACCCCATTTGCAAATTAAGGATGAGTGAAGCCAGAACCTGCATCTGCACTGGATCCAGAATCAAATAAAAACCAAGTAACCACAGTTCAGTTCTGCTTCCAATAACCCTTCGCATCTAGGCAGGTGCGTGTGGACCAAGCCCGAATCCCACCTGCAGCTCCAACACACTGATGGGCCCCTTCCAACTTCTCAGGGGTTGCTGCTATTCCACCAAGCACCCTGACGAGGACGTAAATCACGCCCATGGTCCTGCCCGGGCTCTCCCAAAACGGTGTCTCTTGCCCATGGACAGGCGCGTGGTGGGCTGGCAGAGAGCAGCTCCATCGCTGCAGAGCCCCGACGGCTGCACCCTGCCAAGGGGAGGCTCACGGAGGTGCCTGGTGCTGGGATTTCACATGCAGGCGTGTGCGGAGCCTCGGCAGCCGTTCCATGAGGCTGCTCGCGTTGGCTCCAGTCAAGCAGTGGTTGTTCTGCTGTTCTGCTTGTCAGATAGAGACGTAGCACTTGCCAGTCCCTGATCCAAGGCTCTCCTCACCCCATCCCCACGCCTGCCTCCCATAGCAGTACCCACACGGGCAGTGACCCTGGGGACCTCGGAGCTGCTCAAGCCAGCTGGGCTCACAGCCCCAATCCATCCCATGCATCTCGAGGTTCTGCATCTCCAAGGGTGGGAGCACTGTGAGTTGTAGCCACTCGCGTTCAGATCCCCCAGGAAAAGAGCTCAAAGGCAAAATCAGGAAAGACCAACCTCTAGATCAGGTTGCCATCTGCCATGCTATGTTCAGGGAAATATTCCCTGCAAAAAAATGGTCATATAATTGTACAGGAGCTCCTAATAGAAAAGGACATTAAAAATAAAACACCACCTGCCATCACCAGCAGTGACAGGCAGCTGCTATCCAATATCAACACGAATAGCATTTTCCTTGTTGAGTGCCTATTGATTTGAACGGGATTAAAAGAGGTGAGGAAAGGATTCATTAAGTGTTCCAAGGACTTGGCTAAAAAAAGAATATCTGGTATTCAGGAGGAGCCAGATATTTGGGAAATGAATCTTTCAAGAGTGTAAGGAATTTCTCCGGGAACCGTTTGTGCTTCTCCAGGCTCTGCTGGATGCCTCACAGCCGACGAGACTAATCTCAAAGGGAAAGGTCTCCAAGCTCTAGGAACTGCTAAAATAATGTTTCAAATGCCTTTGAAATCCTCCAAAAGGCAAGCGGTGGGGCTGGCTTTGGGGTAGCATCAAGCAGAGCCGCCCTCAGACCTGTGAACACGGAGTAGCTAGAGATGCAGGAGCATCACACACAGCAATGTGAGCACGGGCAGTGCTGGAGCGAATGCACCCCAGAAGGGCTGCGGGATGCAGCTCCCAGCCATGCTGATGTCCCATAGGAGACCTGACGGTGCCCACAGGGCTGAAGGACCTCCTGGCCTTCAGTCAACCCAAACAGTCCTGGCCACTTTTCCTGCTTAAAGCCGAGCTGAAGCAGCTTCCTTCCAAACAGCAGCGTGTGCAGTTTGCTGGGAAGTCTGTTCCCCCCACTACGGTGGCACAGAAACCCCCTTGGCTCAGAGCAGGAGCTGTGTCCTCAGCACATCCCATCCAGTCCTTTCCATGCCGGTGTCACCCACACAGGTGCCTGGAGCATCTTCCACCAGCTGTGCAGGAGGACACTGAGCTGCAGGATGAGGCTCAGAAAGCAGGTGAGATTTGCACTGCTCACACACCGATGCCCTGCACACCTGAGGCATTAAATGACTTGTGCAAAAGACGGTGCCTGTCAGGTACATCTTGCTCCCTAACACCATGCTGAACCCATGCATTTAGGGAAGATTAAAAAATCAACAAGCCACCGAGCTTGGTGCACATGGGAAGGAAAGTGTAACTCTCGCATTTTGAAAAAAAAAAAAGACTAAACTCTTCCAAAACCAGTCTGAAATGACTAAGCAGTTATTGCTGTTCTGAAACTGCTCTCTAAAAAGAGTTCAGCTTAGTCTGCCAGACACCACATCCTTACCTGCTCTTATGGGTATAATAAACCCAGTTAGAGCCTCCCAACATCCTATTAAAGTACATTTCATATATCTATTAGCATGCCATGATATCCTGAGAGTAGGTAGATTACACTGGGTCTCATATGTTGATTTTCCAAGGAGTTATGCACTGAGGCACGTCCGCACGGCAGCCCCAGCTTGTACTCCAGCTGGAGTTTTTAAAGACTTCCGAAACACCAGAGAAATCAACTCCCATGGATGCAATTCAAATGCGAAAGAACCTAGGTGCCAATAAAACAAATATAATGCTGCAAAATCAAATATTTATTACACCACCTGAAAGCATTACAGCTCGGCATCTTATTTTGCTCGGCTGTCCTCTCACCGTCGCTGCCTTGCGCTGCCTGGAAAGCAGAGCAGGAGCAGCGCCGGGCGCGATAAATAACCGTATCGCACCGTTATTTCCAGGTAACCAGGAGGCTCCAACTCAGCCAAGGATGCCAAGGAAGGCGGCTGCCGAGCTGCGCGGAGCCCCCAAGGCAAAGCAACAGTCCCTGACCTGTCCCAGCGATTCTGCACTCTGGAAAGAAAGCTGTTTTGTTGCCCACTGCAAAGATTTTCCTGTGCACTTTACCGAGGAGCATGTTCCTGCCCACCTGCCTTCAGATTGATCTTAGGTAAATACACAGTCAGATATTCGTACTTCAGTTTGATCAATATCAACCAGCTCTTTCTGAAATTTCTGCTACTAAACATTGCTGCATTATTTTCTTTTTCTGGAGCCTTTGATTAAAGAAACTTGGTAAATCAGAATTCCTTCCCTCTTAATCCTTGCTCTGCACATTGCTGCTGTAGAAATGAAGCGCAAAGCAAGTTTTCCAAGCAGGCACCCCCCTCTGCAAAGCAAAATACAACACAAAAATAATGCACTGTATATAAAAAACAGGGAACAGCTGGGCACAGCATGAGAGTACGGAGAAAGCCAAAATGAAAAAAACAACTCGGTGGGCTTCATGATTACTGTAAACCCCTCCTTTCCCCCCAAAAACAAAACAGTTACACAAATAAATACATATGCATGTAACTTACCGGAGCAAATATCACCATACACATTTACAAAAGGATTTATAATCCAACTGGTGTCTCCTGAAATAAAGCAAGGTTTGTCTCATACTAAAAATAAAGGCTCCCAAAAGCTTCTCACAGGAGAGGGAGAGAGAGAGCGAGCGAGAGCGCGCGCGAGAGCACCAGCTCCTTGTCTCTCTTTTTATGAAGCAAATAAGGAGAGCAAGAAAATCAATGCCGAGAGAAAGTGAGATGATATACCAATCAGGCAGCAGCCCCAGCCTTATTTGCGGAGCAATGGCAAGATGGTCACATTATTAGACGGCGCCTAAGGAGAGAAATCGCGTGCTCTGCCCTGGGCGAGGAGCTCCCTGCTGCAGGTAGCACCAGGGTGGGCTGCGAGGTGCAGCCCATTCCTCCCTGCTGCTGATGCACAAGGGCTTCGTTTTACAGGAGCGTGCTACAGGGAAAGGGGCACTTTGCGATTCTGGGCTGAACTTGCACAAAGGTTAAGCATGCTCTGGATCTGTGGTACTTCCGAGCTGTCGTGGGTGCAGAATTACCCGCCGGCTGGTTTTAGGGGGCTTCCTGGAGTATTTATTACATTTTGACAGATGTTCACAGGATGCCTCTCACTGGGTCTCATAAATCTCTGCAGCAGCTACTGCCAAGAGCCCGTTCAGAGAGGGGAAAGGAGCCTTTGCTTCCCATGTATTTAAATGTGCACTCAAGTTCTCACAGGGCTGGACATCAAAAGCATATTTTTGGGACCTTAACTTTTTCCTCTTTCTGTGTATCAAAGCAAACCTATGGGGTACCCATGGGTTCCTCTGCCAAAAGAGGGGTAAATTCTGTCAATTTACCAAAACAAAAGCTTTGCTGTGCACCTATGTGCTGGAAGGAGGGAGACAAAAACATATAGGGTGAGATGCTCATTACCACGGCTGTACAGCATCTGCTTGTGAGCATGACACACAGGTAGCAAAGACATGCCAGGTCTTTGGAAAGGTCTTCTCCAGAACAGAGAAAATTAGTCCCTCCTATTACTTGATACTCTTTTGCCTCCCTGGAAAAAAAGTTGCATTTGCCCCTCCTGGGTAGGACCCAAGTCTGTCACCTCCTGTCACTGCAAAACCGCTTTACGAGAGGGGTTTTAGGCCCCACATTCAGGATTTGGGCACATTAGGAGCAAAAAAATGAACGCACGGATCCTTCTCTGGCTGCAAAGAGCCTGGCTCCCGGTCCAGGCTGTGGGACTCTCCTGCTACCTGCGTGAGAGTCATCATCCCACCACAGCCCGTGATATAGCAGAGACTGAATCACCCAGTGTGCTATTTTATCATCCCTCCATTTATCAGCATTTCGCCTTCTTTTCTCCAAGAAATATATGCAAATACTTGCGACTTAACAGATAAAACACAAGGTGAATTCAGCAGAAGTTTCTCTCTTATTTGCAGACAGACGTTACATGCTGGTGTACAGAAACTCCTGCTGGATAACAGCAGTTCTCTACACAGCAAGATTCGAGCACGTTCGCTTTTCTTTGGATGCCTTTGGATTTGCATGGTGAGATGGGAGCTGGAACGGATAAGGAACATCCTGGAGACAAAGCGAGGGAGACTGGATTCACCTGATAATTCAATATTTCAGTAATTTCAGCTTTCAAAAACACCCGTTCAAGTAATTTGGCAGATGTGCCCTGGGTGTTATCATCTTTAAGCCCTCCAGAAGTGAATGCTTTGGCACTCAAATGGGACGGGGTGGAAGACATGGTTCAGCCAGAGCATGACGGGTTGCAGCAGGCAGTGACCCGTCCTGTCACACTCTCCTCCAAGCGATGCCCTAGCACAGACTCCACCACGTGAGGAGACCAGGGTCTGATTTCTTCCAAACTGGTGACACCCTGTGAATGGGTCAGGCCTATCATTGCTTAAGGTGGACACGTTGGTGGCTGGTGACGAGGCAAAATGCTTGTGCCAGGCTGCAGCAGCACGCCCGGCAGCACTTCGAGCTGGTGCTTTCTTCTGCTTTATTAGATTCCTTTGCAAAAAAAGAGCTCATCTGAAATATTGAACATGGCACTCAACATCCCCAAGCATAGAAACAGCCCATGCCATCGCCAGCTTTGTTTTGACATGCCTCTCAATACTGTATCAGAGCTTTCTACTTGGGATTTTTAAGTAGGGAGTTTCAAAGCCAACTGAAAAGCTTTGTGGGATTTGGGCCGCAAACTCCTTTAGATACTGCCTCAAAGCCCTACATATCCAGCGGATTCCAGCCAGCTTTGCTACATCACTCAAGGGCCTGAGCAGACTTAATCCCTGCGTGCAGGAGGTTCATGGCCAACAGAGCTGATAGGGATGCCCTTGCTCCGGAACTGGGCCTGCATCCCGCTGGGAACACTTTGGTTCTCCAGGACACCGGCCTCGTGGGAGCAGGTAACTCATCCACGTGGAGCCACAAACAACTCCGCAGCCCGGGACGCGTTAGAAAGGGCTGCCCGGTTGCCAGAAGGGATTTTCACGCTTCCCCTCTCAATCTTTATTCAAATTTGGGAAGACACAAAATTAACCAGGTCTGAGACAGAATGGGAAATGGTTTCTCGTGGAAATGAAACGTTTCCTAATGAACCTCCCCTCCCCCTGTGCTGCTCGACTCGGGATGCAAATATTGCCGAGAGTTTATCAATCTGCGACTTGTTTCACGCCGTTTGCAATGCTAATGAGTAAACCAATTTTGACATATTATGTAAGCCAGTTTCTGAAACAGAGATTCTTGGCAGGCCAAATGTAAACACAGACACCCTCTCGCATCCAATTTAAATGAGCATGTTGCTGAAAGCACTCAGGGCTTGATTCTGTTGACTTATTCCCGATTTACTCCAGTGGAAAAAAAAATGCCCAACCTTTAATTCAGCTGCTAGTGCAGCAGCAATGTGCAAATGCATCTAATTTTATAATATGGAAATATGTTGGAATAAGCTAATGCAGGGTGGTGACTTAGAGGCTGTACAAGCATCATCACAGCTTATGATGTTGGAGCACCGAACAGAGCTAATGCAGAGACGACAGCTCCTCTCTGCCTGACACAAAGCCAAATTCAGGTGAGCCCAGTGGCCCATGGGGTGGACCAAACCCAGAGGCAACCCCCTAGCAAACGGGATATGATTCCTGCCCGGCAGCTGCAGGTTTGCATCCCGCTTGTGCAGGGCACCGAGAGCCCACACGCTGCTTCCTTGCCCATCTGCCCCACCACGAGCTCCAGAACTGGCCCTCGGCCCGAGGCAGGTGCACATGCTGCATGGGTGGATGCCATCCAAGCTCTTCAGATGATGGTCTGAGCACAAGGGCAACTTGTGTTGGATGGCAGAGGACTGCAACGACTGGCAGGACTCCTTTCTTCTGCACAGGGAGCAGCCAAAGGTCGTTAGCTCAAGGTATGGAGTTGGGGTAGGAAGAAAGAGGAATGATCTGTCTTAAAAGGAAGCATTTACTGGAGAGCTGAACGGGGTTTATGAAAGTGAAGAGGGGCAGGACTCAGATCTCTCATTTGCACGTTTCTCAGTACCATCTGGAGCATTTGCATCTGCCAAAAGCATGGTGCATTTCTGTCAACAGGCGGAAGCAAATGCTGTAGCACCATACCTGGAGGTAGCCTCTGCCCTGCTACCGGCTCCGGGCATTTCCAGGGTGTTTTAAAGCTCAAAGACAAGAGCTCAGCTCAACTGTGAGGTCCCTGCCCTGGCAGAGGACATGAAATAAAACGCACGCTCTGGATGTTGCTGCTGCGGAGAGAATTTACTGCCTGTGTCAGAGATCCTGCGAGGCACGAGCAGAGCTGCGAGACCTCGCGGTTGGTCCTCCGTGCCACTTCATCAGGAAATCAGCACCCTCATTTATTGCACCTGTCTCTTTTGCAATGTAAAACAAAGGAGAACAGGAGGAAACAACACTTCTAGCCTCCAACCAACCCTGCCTTCCTGAGCTGTCAAGGCTGAGCGCGGGCCCGAGCGCGCTTCCCTTCGTGCCGCGCGGCGCTTTCAAGCCAGGATCACAAGCGGCTGAGGTGCCGCACGTCTGCTGGCTCATCAAGTTCCACTCTGCAAGTCTGGAAACGGCCTCACTAAAGCAATTCAAACTTTTATGGCACAAAAAACAGGCTGCCTCGACTTGAAAAAGGAAGGATAGGGATGGAAAGGAGGGCAGCTGACAACTAAACGTCACTTGGGATGCAACCAAGGATGGCATAGTGCTGCTGCGCATCGCGGCATGGGAGCTGCGGGGAGCAGTGATGTTTGGTAGAAAAGTGGCCCCACAGACCTGAAAAAATTGCACAAACTCTTACCCAAATTAGCACAAGTCTAGCTGCTTGCCAGCTGACAAACACCTTCTGGAATGGACCAGCACAGCCCCTAAGGTGGGCCCAAAAAGTCATCACTACAGGGCAGCTCAAACCCATCGTATGATGGGGACATCTTCCCTCCTTCCCATGACAGTTTAGTCACGCATGGTTCAATATAGTAAACATTAGGCAAAAGAGTGCTCAGTTTGTAACATCAGCTCATTCTTACTGTAGACTTGAATGATCTGGAATGACTCCTGTCACTCCATTGAAGGTCATTAATTACGGCCGTTAATTCTTGTTGCCATGCTTGTTTTCCAGCTTACGTCTTTCTTAACTCCTGTCTTAAATACCAGACACTGAAAAACACGTATAATAGTAATCTGAAGGCTAAATGGACATGGGCTGGATGAAGGAAACAGCATAGAATAAAAATAAATCAGATGAATTTCCATTTTAAATTTTGCAACTATTTAACAGGAAGAAAGAAAAAAACCTAATTACTGTCAACTATAAGTTTTCAGCTACCCAGCCAGCAGAACGTTGTTATTAAACTACTGTATAATTGCCTCTTTTAGTCCGCTTCCCACAGAAGTTGTGTTATTTCACTCATAGTTAAACTCATAATATTGCCTTCATAACTAATCCTGTCAATTGAAATCCCCAGGCTGGTGCAAGGATAAAAATAGCGAGGAGCTGTTTCACTGCCCGGCTGCCTCTCAAGGCACTTCTGCAAATCCCGGGCTTGCAGTTCGGGGAGGCCAGAGCCCATTGCCCC